ACCACATCATTATTGAATGTTAGCTACTGTGTGCAGAGAGGTCTTTTGTTTCAAAATGTAACATTCTCTTTACCTGAAAATGTATTTCTGCTGGATGCTTACCTCTCTTCACACCTTTCTTCCCCACTACCGGTACACATTTTTCTTGCCCTCTTCTAACGATGAAGTTAATTTTGATCACTAGTGCTTATGGGTATTTACTGTGTATGTAGGATGTGTGATCATCCTATTTGTGGAGGACTATTGTCACATGATGATTACATCATGCACCAGTGGAGTTCACATTATAACACACTTAGATTGGAGATTACCCAAAGACAGATGTGCAAGAAATAGCTACTATATGCATGTGTTCAGGTTTATTCATCTTCAATGTCAGTAGAACATGTTCAGTTAGCCCTAATCCTGAACTAAACTTCTGCTGCTCTGATTTCTCTTTTTTCTCTCTCTCTCTCTCGGAAATGTTCTATTGAACCTATTTCTGTTCCACATGAGGGTGCTAGTATCATGTTAGAGGACTAATTTTTCAAATCATTATTTCTGCTACATTCTTCTGATATTCAGGTTTTTGTAAATGCTTTTACTAATTACCAGAATATTAATAGCCTTCATGTTCCCCATGTTTGTCATGCAAGTGGCCTTTTAACAGAGTCATCATCTACTACTCATCTTCTGAAGCTCTTGAACCTCAGATTGGCTATTGTTTTTGTGGATCTTCTACGTGGTCTTCTTTCATGACTCCCCATCAGTTTTCTACCCTGTACACTCTGATTTCTCTAATTTTTAAGTTTTCTTCTTCTTATCAGCAACTCTCATTCTCCAGATTCTTTTATTTATGTTCAGATTTCCACCCTACAATAACTTAGTTGTGGTTCGCACTAATGATGTTTCTGTATCAGTTTTAGAGGAAAGACTTGTTTTTTGCCATCCAAATCTGATTGTCTATTTTTATGGCAATATATTTTATATCTGTGACCTTCTTTCATTGTGTCAGTGAAGAATAATATGAAAATAATTGTTCTTTGGCAAATTTTTACAACACTGCAGGTTAGGCATACATATTGATAAACTGGTAATGAAGCATAAAGAAATTGTAGAAAAAGAAATACTACCTATCAATTAAAACTAATGTGAAAAGTGACATTCATTGTATTTTTTGTATATTGTTTCTATTACCACATGACTCTTATGTTTCTTCACACCTTATCTTCTTTGCTGATATAGAAAGAGCTTCTTTCTTGCATTGTTTTTATTTATAGGAATTTTACCTGAACATGTTTTCAATTCAGAAGCAGCAGCTGATTAGGATTCTAGCCATTTGATTGTTGTCTTGTCATTCTTTCTTGAGACAACCAGTAAGTATGATTCACCCTCTTGCCTTCCCTTCTTCATTAATTTCTTAGTTGATATCTGCTACTACTCCTCATTTCTTTTCAACCTCATGTGGTCAAATAGAGAAGTAAGTGAGATAGCTCTATTCAAACCTTTAAATAACATTCTTTTGTCCCAGCTAGTTTTAACATCTGGACTTCTGATGGGTTGTCTCAGATGACTTGTTCATTTGTGGAACCCTTTGCTTTAGGACTGTTGATTCAAGTAATCCTTCAGTCAGATCTTTATCTTCAGTTTCACTGTTCTCTTCCTGTGCAACCATTTTTCCCCCTCTTCTTTCTAATTCAGTTTGCTAATGTTTTATGAATCATGAAGTCTTAGATGACCTTCAGAAAGGGACAATTGAAATAAGTTTTATACTTCTTCAGCAGGTTTACACTTCCATCTCTCTTTAGAGCCCAAGAAATTAGTAGATTTTATAACTGTCATAGATCTGTCTCAACTTAATTGTTACCTGGAAACACCTCATTTCAAAATGGAATTTATTAGGTTGTTGCATCAATGTCTTTGTTGAAGCCACTGGATGACAAAGGTGGATGTACAGAATGCTGATATGCATATTCCTCTTCATCTGTCATTGCTTTGTTTTTTCCATTTAGAAGGTAGTTTATTACTTTTAGCTTGGCCTCGGATTCTTTTGTTTTCTGTCAAGTAGTCAAAGCATTTACTTGTCTTCTCCAGTCACTTTACATGAACTTTAATTTCTATACGGACAATTGCCTTATTCTGAACCATTCATCCAATCAGTCTTTTCAACACACTTAGTTGACCACCCAGTTAGCTACATTTCTTGAGTGGATCATTCACAAATCTAAGTCCCAGTTAGTACCAACATAGTATGTAGTAAATCTGGGATTTTGGATCAACAAAGTTCAAGAAACATTTTAACCTTGGAGTCTTATTGTTTATATTCTTCTGTCTTGCCTACCTACCACTAAAGATACCCTTTCTGATTTGGGATCAATGGCTTCTTTTTATAATGTCATTTCTTTGGAGTGCAGTCACATGAAACACCTCCAATGGGGTCTTGCTTCTCAGTTGTGTCTGAACACCAAACCTATTTTTATGCAGCATAACTGTTTCTCTCATCAATCTCAAGTTTCTCCAGTTTTAATGGAATCAAAAGTTTATATCAGCTGGGGCCATCTTTCTTTCTTTTTATATAGCTCTTCTCTTTTAATAGATATATCTTATGGATTGGATACTGTGTTGGTGAATCAGCAGTTGTTCTGGTTTTTAGACTCTTTTTAAAGAAGCAACAGCTCACATCAATACATTAGAACTATGAACTATTCAATGTACTCTTCTCATGTTTTTGCCTTTTCTACACCACCATTCTTTGTTTTGCTGCAGTTTCAATACTTCTTTGGCTTCATTCACAACATGTTCTCCTTCAAGCCTGTTATGTTCTCAATCTAATGAACAATTAGACAGACTCTTAGGATCATTGACTTTTCTCCACAGAGTGAACTCTCCACCCTTTTTGTTTTAATGGCTATGCAAACATCTAGATTGTCTATTGATTGATGCCTTTGCTACATCAGATAACCATCTTCTTCCACTCTACAGGCCTTCAGTCTCAGATCCGAATTGTCGCTGTGGATGCTTTGAGTCAATCATGGAAAAACTTTTACACCTTCCTTGTTTGCTCTCCAAGATTAGTTATATGAGGTGCTATACTCAACTTTTTGTTCCACTTTGGCCAGATCTGCCATGTTTTCCCTTATTACATCAATTTTCTCATGGGTAAATAGTCCCAATACTAGCAAGGGAATATCATAATCAAATATCAATTTTGCATATGATTTCATGTCTAGATTCTTTGTGAGAGAAGCCGGATTCTCTTCTAGACTAGCTCTTACATTAGCTCACTCTTACTGATATTCTTTCCTAGAAGTCTGTCAATCCCCATTAGACTACTTTCAGGAGTTGGTGATTAAACATATTTTTTGTCTTTCTCCAGTTGCTCAACAAATTGTTTCTTTCTTCATGCTTTTATTTCATAATTGTGACTTGTCAGCTTCTTCCATAGCCTTTAGGAAGGTTGTTTATCCCTATACACTGAATTACTCTCCTTCAATCTTACTTTTACTAACTGATAAAATGGCTTGTACAGTTGATCTGTCTTGTTTATCATTATTTTTCCAAATATTTCATAAGTGTATTTTGGGTTACATTTTACTAAATTTTCTATTTGCTCAAAAGATATCTTGAAAGCTGACATGGGGAAAATTTGAATAGGTTGTAGTTTATTGCTTCAGCTTCAGTATTTCCTTTACCTCTGGTTATGAATTTGGAAGCCAGATGAAATCCCTGGGAGTTGACTTATTCTTTATGACCCACTTGTTTATAACTTAGTCCCATACTTATTTATTTTATATGGCAACACCCTGTTACTAATTTCAGGGGTTCTGAGGTTGAGCAGTCATTTGAATATACATAAATAAAAATCCATTTGGGACTCTCACTTGTCTTATATACCTCTGTGTTTCTCCTAGACAAGGGCCTGGCATGGCCAGGTAGTTAGGGTGCTTGACTCGCATTCTGAGGGTCGCGAGTTTGAATCCCCATCACACCAAACATGCTCGCCCTTTCAGCCGTGGGGGCATTATAATGTGACAGTCAATCCCACTATTTGTTGGTAAAAGAGTAGCCCAGGAGTTG